GGACCAGGGAACACGACCGACCATACCACAAGAGCACTAGGTCGTTGATTATATGTTCAAAGTCCGCATGTTATATGGACTAAAAATGAAGTATACATGGTACCTCGTGTTTCATACCAGCTGGATTCAGTAAAATGCTACTGACATCCACATAAGCAGCACGGGCAGTTCCCAATGAGAGGTTCACGGCGCCATCAGCTCGATGAACAGGCTTTGTGTGAAATATCACATAGTCTAGAACTGCTTTTAGTGCTCTTGTGGTATGGTCGGTCGTGTTCCCTGGTCCCATGCATTAGGTCAAGGGATTCGAGTCCTGGCTGGTGAGGTCGTTGATTATTGGTTTCCTCAAGTTATGTTTTAAAAATAATGTTTTTTATTATATCTGTAATTCAATATTTTTATTTTTGTTACTTTTCTGTTTTGCTTCGTCAATTTTATATATTTTTCGCATCTTTTCGTTTCGGCATTTTTTCCTCGTGTGGTGGTAGGTGGTGAGACCTCCGCGTGTCAGACTTGTATAACTAGAATACTGACGGTCAGGATTGGCGGCGACCTAACCCAGGGAATGTTATGAGCCAGTGACAGAAGCCATGGTGTGTGCGTCAACAGGCTTGGAACGCCATAGACCAAAAGGAATGTCCCATTATCTGTGTTGTTGTTAAATTAAATACCCAAGGACACAATTCTTTACAACCTCGTCAAAAGTTATCGAATTTAAGTTACGATTATTATTGATCTGTTGTGATTAATCTAAGCTAACGAAACCTAACCTAATTTCACTTACAATTATAACCCATTTTTAGTATTTCTTAACCTAGTATAGCCTCACTTAACCAACTCGACTTACCATAAGAGACATTTATCAAAGACGTAACGAAACTTGATTTGGTGGAATATTGTGAAGCTGTGTGTGTTGGAGGTCATTTGTATTGTTGCAGTCGTCTCTGTGCAACCAAGTAAAATATACCGTTACGTGAGATTGCACATTCCCGGGTGTTCATTTTTATGTTATTCTTTAATATTGTTAGTATGTGATATTCTGTTAACGTTGAAAAATGTTCTTGTGTATTATTGACAGTGGTTATTTTGTTATATTTATTTATAACAGTGAAAATAGTGGTTTTGTTAAGATTAAAATCAACAAACGCGCTAGCCTGCTGGTGGATGAAAACGAATGTATCAACAGACTGAGACAAAAGCAAACACGCCAACCTGCTGCTGGATGTGATCAACAAACCAGCTGACTTAGTTGTAAATAAACACAGGGTACGAATGTGTGGCTAGACTAAAAATAAAAACAAATAAAAATAATTCGTCAGATCTTGTTGAGGATATTAACTAAACAGATTATGAGAACGAGGAAAAAAACCCCAATAAAATGACTTATACTGAACGTTAACTAGAGTGTAACAGTATCATACTAATAACGGGTTTGTGGTACACGTTGATTAAGGTCTTGTTCTCTTGCCCTTCTTTCTCTTTCTCTCTCTCCGTTTACTGTTCTTATCATACTTTATCCTTTCATTACTAAATCATACCTTCCCTATTCTTTCATGAGGTAAGGACACACACACACACAACTGCATCACTCAGGGATAATTTGTGTACCAGTTAACCGACACATTATCTCGTACATAAGAGTGGATAGACTGTATACTACGTCACAGCAGTTAATATGTGGCCGCCTGAAGCTTCATGACACGAATGCAGCTGACTCAACCCTCGAAGCACAGATCCGGAGAAGTGCGCAGTTGCCTCACACTCACCAGCTGCATGACACAGTTTACAGCCATAATGACGTATTTTGGCATCAGTTGATTTTCCGCGATCCTCTCACACACAGACGGTCGAGCATGACATTTCTCCATTGTTTTTCAGATGAATATGACATGTAAACATCTTTTTTATCGTTTTTAAAGGAATTATATAGAGTTTAGAATAGTCTGGGGGTGTAAATAAGATACTAGATACAATATTTCCAAGAAAATACTCGACATATAATCAGTCGTGTACAAACTGGTTCGGGAGGATAGCGTGCTAGGGGGGGACACTGATGAGGTGGTTGAAGCTGTTTTCTATATTATCTCTTTTTCTTCTGCTACCTCACTTTCAAAGCTGTTTTGTGAGAGATTGATAAAACACCGAACGAGGGAAATAATGAACTAATGATAAATAAGTTGGTAATAATAATAATAATAATAATAGGAAATGCCACACAATTGTCTTCTCAAGCACCTGGTTACACACACATACCCATGCCCACACACCCCAACCATACCCCAGCTCTGGTAAGAAGGCTCCAGAACACACACATACACAGTCTTACACCAACATACCCACTCACACCACACATACACCCACCTACCACACCCACACACCTTGCACCATCAACATACCACACCTACTGAACTGCTGAAGTCGTATCATTTGCACACCTGTTGACATTAACAAGCACGAGTCATGCCACCTGGGCGACCCCGTAATCTTATCTTCCCAGGTAGACTCATTGTGCCTGAGGTTATAACATGCCATGAGAGAGACCAGGTAATTGCAGGTGAGGTGTAAGGTTTCACTTGTACCCTTACCACCATCTTATCTCTCTCTCTCTCTCTCTCTCTCTCTCTCTCTCAAACGCGATGAAGCAACACCTGTAATATTTAACACCAAGAACCACTAGAGTCTCAGTGTAATATCGTCACCATACCTAAAATATACCCATACTCAGATGCCTTCTCACGTCACCAGTTAAGGGGAAAAATTATGGGACGAGCCTATGTGAATGCTAATGACGTCACAACCATAACATCCTCTGCTGTGCTCGTAAAAAAAAACAAAAACAGCTGATGTATGTTTAGTGTTTTTGTATGTCAGCCAGGGTGTTTTAATTGTATTTGTCAGATGGATGTTGTATTTAGTTTGTGTTTGTCAGTTAGAGGGGTGTTTTATTTGTGTTTATGCTAGAGAAGTAATATTTTTAAGTAATTATGTGTTTATAATACGTATTACAACTGTAGCCCCTTAAATAACAACAAAACACTTACAAGAATAATTAACTACGTATGCATTGAATTATATATAGCATAAGATTAATTATAGTATTGGATGATTAGATTATAGAAGATAAGGACGTAGGAATTTCTTGTTTATCATGATGACGGAGGGTGAGTGAGGGAGTGTACAGGTAATGGTATTCCTCACCTGGTCTCCCTCATGATGATTGGTGATTCAAACTTGGAGGCGCAGCTGTATTATCCTCCACCACCCACTGCGCCCATGATCATGTCTCTCTCTCTCTCTCTCTCCTGCACCCACACCCATGACTACGATTGCGCCATGGTCATTAACCCCTTCTATCCTCCTCCACCCACTGCTCCCATGGTCATAACCCTTCCTCTCGCCCACGTTCATGATTCATCCTCACACTCATGACTCTTCCTCCCATGACTCAAGACTGCGCCCATGGTCATAACCCTTCCTCTCACCCACACTAATGACTCTTCCTCCCTCATATCCATAACCTCATCTCACCCTCACCTACGTCCCTCCTCACCTTCCCTCACACCTCCTCCAACTCACCCTCCCTCACTCCCTCCTACAACCCTTCCTCAAACCCTCCTCACCCTCACCCCTATCCTCTCCTTACTCCCCTCCCCTTCACTTCCCCCCCCCACTCTCTCACCTCCTTTCGGCTTCAGTGATTAAGGATCATCTGATAATTAGCCCCCCAGCTTATTTCACCTGAATGATTAAACACCCTAACCTTACCTGGTGGTGTTAGATTAGATTAGGTTGAATAAGGTTAGGTTAGATTAGGTTAGGTTGAGTTGGGTTAGATTAGGTTATATTGGGTTGAGATGGATTAGGTTAGGTTAGATTAGGTTAGGTTGAGTTGGGTTAGATTAGGTTATATTGGGTTGAGATGGGTTAGGTTAGGTTAGGTTAACATTAGTTTAAGTTAGCAGTATAATAATCTCTCCATTTACGTGTTAAGTGTTAAATTAATTAATGAGTTAGTTTATCATCGCTACCTTCACACAGTAAATTGATTAGTTGATCAGAAATGTGTTGTTGTTTGTTTTTTATGCATCTACAGTCTGCCAGTGTGTATAATAATCCCCATTTTCACTATTTTCTCCCCATACTAATCCCCCTTTCCCTATTTTCCCCCAATACTAATCCCCATTTTCCCTATTTTCTCCCCATAATAATCCCCATTTTCTCCCCATAATAATCCCCCTTTTCCCCATTTTCTCCCCATAATAATCCCCCTTTTCCCTATTTTCTCCCCATAATAATCCCCCTTTTCCCTATTTTCTCCCCGAGCACTGACAAATCACCACTAACCTATATTTTCACCATGAACGAGACACTATTACTAATCTCTGTAAGAATGTTCAGCAGTCTGTCTTAATAAATACTCCAGGGATTATTTTAATTCCCCTAAGCGTACAGTAGTGGGTAATTAGGGAATGCTAGGGGAAAAAGACGTAGGGAAAATAGATAAAACATAGGGAAACATAGGGGAAAAATAAGTAATTGCACACTGGGGAAATACTAAAATATTAAATGATGATAGTAATGATAAATTTATACTTAACGTCAAATAAGTTAGTGGTAAAAATCGTGTTCATTATTTTCCTGGTGGACTGACGTAATTCTTCTGGTATTTTAACACAAGGAGACTTAATTATATTGTACAGGTGGGGAATAACACGAATTAACCTTGTGCGTGGTGGAGTGCAAGTGGCTGGTAGGTTGTTCACCTTGTGCTTGCCTTGCCTACATTCCTCCACCTCCCCCCCTCTCTCTCTCTCTTTCTTATGACTCATTGCTATCTATTTAAGGAGTACACACACACACACACACACACACACACCCCTCATTTCTACCATATATTATTGGTCTGATTTTCGACGCTGCTTCACTGTATAAAAATAAATCTAAGTTAAGCTAAAGCAGGAAGGAATGAAAGGAAGGTATGGCATAATATTATAACATAC